AAAAGAAACTCAAATTCGGTTCGAGTGACGATGAGATGGACATTGAGTTGCCATCTGATGATGACTTCGACACCGATAGCCGTCGCGTCACCCGACAGAAGGCCAATGAAAGTGCCAAAAGACATGACATTCATGTGTGTCTTTCGCCCAGAAATCAAAATAAGACAAACAAAAGCAGTCACACAAGTAGTCCGCAAATCAGTGCCAGAAGTCCCGCAACGAGTGCCAGAACTCCCGCATCGACTGCAAGAAGTCCAGCCACTGCTGCCAACAGACGCTATGAATATAAGACACTCATCGAAGTCCATAACCTGTTCCCCGTGAGTGGTAAGACGTATTGTCACATCTATGGTGTCCTCAGATATCGTGACTATAAGAAGAATGCGATGTATTTGAGAGACGAGAAGGCGTTCACAATGACTGTGCAGTTGAGGCCCGGGAACAGCTCTTTTCGTCACTATCCGGGCGCCAAACCCGGGGATGTCATCCGAATTCATCGCATACTACTGGCGCCCAATTGTCTCGAACCTATCTGTTGTGACCCCAAAGATATGGTTGTCTTCGAGGCATTCCAAGACTCGGAACAGTTTTCGCCGATTAAGACGAGTATTAATATGACAATCGAACAGTTCGATAGACACCGCAAACGAGAACTCGAGGAATGGTTTGCCAACGAATTACTCGGTGATAGTCTGAGTGAGAAGAAGCACACGGATTATAACTCATACGCGGAACTGACGGTTCAGGTGCTCCGAAAGACCACTACTCGCGACCGAACAGAGCTCGTGGTTTGGGACACAACACGTCCGGCACTGCGGACCCACTCATCGCATGTCTCGACGGCCGGTATGTCTCTGACCAGCGCTGAAGAGGAGTTGATTCGTATTGTGAATGAGAATCAGATGTCAATTATGGTCACTGTGTTTGAACAGCACTCTAATGACGCCCAAAGTATCAAACCCTTTGACTTCATAGTCCTATTCAATGTTAATATCAGAAACGACAGGTACAGGGAGGGCTTCCACACCTATTCCCTCCACTCGACCTATGCTTACGGCAAATGTATTCGTTATGTGAAACCAAATTCAATACTAAGTATTGCTCTGAAATTATTTCTTAATTAATTTATTTTTAATTACTGTTTGCTTTCTATATTTAAAGGCAAAAAACTTTACGATCGCATCGAGGAATACAAAGTAATGTCAGCCGTGAATGTGGAGAGCCCTGCCCTCGACGACGCCTTTCCCTCGCAATCGTTTCTTATCGATAGTCA